CAACAGTTTCCACTGTGTTCTGCTGCTGTCTGTCATAGGCCGTTGAACCTGTCGCTCATGATCAAGTGCTTGGGATGTATCAGAAACGCACCCTTCATTTACCCTTTCAGAACTCAAACTCATTGGGGAAGAATAACATTTAAATTGGTATTTATGAATGAGGTAATTTCCTGACCAGCAGCAATGTTTGGTTAGCTGTTTTCCGTAAGCAGGATAAGCCTGTGTTTATAATTAATTTTCATTATACATGATATTTTTTCTTCCCTTGACTGATTAATTTCTTCAACTGATCTATCTGGAGTACAACATTAATATTGAAAATAGAATTATGAAGGTATCAAAGGAAAAAATATTTGAGCTCCTTCTGCCAACACAAGCATACACATTTCCAGTGTAGCTATATACGAAAAGTGAAGTTGAATTGGCATGGAACGTCTGATATGTGACATGTTTATAATATTAACCAAGTTTTGCATATTAAGGACAAAAAAGAAAGAGAAGAAACCTTTATTAATGTGTCTGTCTCAGACACTGAAATATTAAGTTTGGAGCTCATTCATTCAGCTCTTGAAGAGCCCTATCTGGAGCTAAGTGGAGCTGAAGCCAGAAACCTTTGTGGAGAGAAGCAGTGAGGCTTCACCAAGGGGCCTTCTTTGGGTAAGGGAAGTCTCTGTGCTGGAAAGCCATCATGCCAGCCTTCACCATGTCTCCCGTTTTTGCCATCCAGCTGCCAGGTCTGGTGCCTCTGCCATTCCCTAGCTCCAAGCCTCAATTTATTAATTTATAGTAATTTATTAATTTTAATTCATTAATTTTGTCATGGAGAAATGCAAAAATAGAGAACAGTTACAGCATCAGGAAGCTTGAAAATCTTTTGCAATGCTACATTACCATTTCACAATTAAGGTGACAAAGCCTCAAGAAATGAAAAGAAAAAAAAAAGCAACCTAACTACATTCTTAAAAATTATAACATGGCTCATATTTAATGAGAATTATAGAACTAAAAATAAAGGAGAACACTGAGCTGACAAGGGAGCAAAACATCATAACTTACAAGATTTGGTTTTTTGGCTTTATTACCATTTAACCTTTTTTTCCATTTACTTTGTTACTTTTCAGTAACATGCTTTGTTACTGGATTTTCCAGGAGAACAATAAAGGAAAAGAAAGATGAGGTTTACAGAATAAACAAATTCTGAAGCCTTGGGTTGTCAAAGAATGCTATCCCAAAACCTTCAGTTCTGGAAATCTTGGGATTCAAGGCAGTCTTCTACTGTGTAATGACAAACTGAACTTTTCAAGGGTTTCTAATTTTTATTTTAGGGTTTTGGTTCTTTTTAAAAAAACATTTGTAAAATCATTTATTCAGCATTAAGATTGTCTCATACGAAAGTTGACATTTAGTTATTTACCTGCTCTTCATCTAATAAGACAAAGGGAAGAACCTTTAAAAATGTGTTTTTATTATTCCTCAGAGACAAAGTTGTTTTCCTTAACCTTTACCAACATTTTATTTTAACAACAAAAAAGAAGGAATAATGTGAACTTCTGGGCTCTTGGAAGCCTTTAAGAAGTTTTCTCTGATCTTAATAAAGCCAGAAAGTTGTCCTTAATGCTGAAGAAAGGGCTACAATTAGGCAAATGAAATCCCCACCCCCTACCTCTTAAAAAAATCACAAGCATTTACTTCTATACTGACTTCATAAAGTGTTCTGCTGTAGATAAAATGTGATGTCTGTGTGCAGGAATGATGTTTCTCTTTTTTGTGATACTGAAAACCTTAGCACAGTGAAACATAAGTTTATGTTGTGAAACGTAAGTAACTGCAAATCCATCGTTTTCTGAGGAATGTTGTCCCAGGGCTGGACTGTGGACAGTAGAAGAAAATAGGGCAATCCTGTTAGGCCAGCGGGGGGAAATATTCCAGATGACATGGTCCATAATAACCTCTCTGGTCTGGACTGGGAGATGTCTGTTAAGAGCATATATGGCTCTTTATGTTTACATCTTAAAAGAGCCAAGCTAAATATGTAACCAGGATTAATTAATCCTTTGAATTTTATGACCTTTTGTGAACAGATTCTCCAAATGAAGAGCACACTTCGTTCACAAATGTATTTTCCCTCTGCAAACAGTTAATGGCTTCATGTTGCAAATATTGAAACTCTACCTTTTTCCCTCTGTCTTAGCTGGTTATCCCAGTCACATTATACTCGTTCCTGTAGCAAAGCAGGATGGAATGCACTGAGGATGTGCTTGCAATCAAAAATACAAATAAAAATAAAATTCTATTTTCACTTGAAATGATCTGAAGAAGGCATTAATATTTGACAGCTCAGAAAAATGCAAATGAGTCATGAACATTCCTCCAAAGTCTTATCTAGGAAAATTTGATCTAGTATTTGTTCAGTTCTAACCTGAGTTCTCTGCTATTTTCTTATTTTGGACTAAGGGCTTAGCAAGAATATGGGTCTCAGATAAGTAGAATGGCGACTTAGGAGTCTAAATCAAAGCTGGCAGCATTTTTGAGACAAGAAATAGGGGTACCTAAAGAAGCATTATGTAATGGGCTTCTAGGAGGTAGCTTCCTGAGACACAGCTGTCATCATACTGGTGGTAGTGAAGTTTGTGGATAAGCAGAACTTTGCATCAAGCTTTCATTGGCAGGCAGCTGAGGAAAACACAACAGTATACAGCTGGGCAGCTGCACTAAAAGAACTCACCCACAGAGGTCGAGCCCTTACTCCCAAATGGGGATAGGAACACTTCTCACACTTGCCCCCAGTGCACAATTTTACTTCAGGAAATAGAAATAAATATAATTATGAACTAAATCCATGTAATCCTCTGGCCATTGTAACACAAATCCTTAATTTACCTAGCTACTGAGTTTATTAAAGAGTCTGTGTTATTGTCAGCTTGGTGCATTGTGTAACTTGTTGAATGAAGAGACTGACAGGTCAGGTATGGCAGCTGTTGTCAAGGAGAACTTAATGCAGCTGCAGGGGTTATCCGAGTATTGTGCAGTCCCTTTCTGACAATTTTTTTAATTTTTATTATTTATTGTCCATTGGTTTTCTCTAACTCAAGATTATCTGATTAGAGGATTTGGCTGAAAAAGCGGTATTTTTTAAAAAATTGTTTCTTTGGTGAGGAAGAAGATATCCTTCAGGTTTCTGGGAGCTCCACTGGGATTTTGGTGGATTTGTGATGTAAATTAGATAGGAATTCATTTTCTGCTGATTAGCAAAGAAGGTGCAATGTGCAGCTCAGCCTTGTAATTGTTGAACAATTGTACTCCAGCTGAAATCAATATGGATTTAGCCTAAGCTAAGGACACAGGTTTGGGTTCATCATCGTGTAACACTAATTCATTTCCAAATCCACGCAGAGATCAGCAAACCCAACGGTTCTTGAGTAATGTAGAAATGGTGTTAAATCACAAGGTTAGAATCAAATCTGTAGTTGACATCGACTGGAATCAAGGGCTTTGGAACTGACTTGTCAGTTTAAAGGTGAAAGCAAAGTTGTAACAGCTGGAATAATATTGTAATTCTCTGTTCTCCACCTGAACGCTAGTGGCAAAAAACCATGAAGAGTACGTGACAGTGACGCCTTATGCTTATCTGCTCCAGAGCCTAGTTTTTGGCTCAAATCAGAGCATCTGGAAAACTGCTGGTGTTGGGTTTAACCAAACTTTAAGCACACATTGATCTGTGTGCAATCAGGGATTACTGGAAAACAAAAGGTTCAGGTAGTCCTACTTCTTAGGCTGGAATCTTGATGGTTGCCTAGTATAGTTACAGTGTAATTTCTCCAGTTCCAGGATTGTTGGGTTTTTATAGATGCCTTGCTGCTAGTCTGCTGTATGTTACAATTGCATCAAGTAACTACAACTGCAGATCATATCTGTGCTTTCTGAAATATAGAGAAATTATATGATATAATACCTTTTTATTGGCAATACGATGCTAGCTATTAAAATTCAGTCATACAGCATCCCAGGTGGTTGACTTTATCTTGCCAGTTTTGTTGCTTTCCAATTTGAGTATCCTGAATGCTGTGCTGAGGTGATAAACAGCCCATTGTATGTCTTTGCTGCTTCAGGTTTTAAGGACAACTTCTTTTGCCATATTTCCTCATGGAAGCTAAAACCTGTTGAGTAAGTGGTCCCCAAAGTCCTTTGAAGAGACCGCTTTGGGAGCTTAGGTAATGCATTGCAGAAGATGGTGACACAATTTCTAAAGACCAGCATTACTTCCTCAAGCTCTGACCACAGAGAGACTTTACCAGCTGACAGACAGTTTATAGTTGGTCACACAACTGTTCAAAACACAAATGAGTGGTCCCCTCCCCAGTGCTCCCAGAGTAGGTCTGTCTTGGTGCTGTTCCAGTAGGTCTATGGTCTGTGCCAAATAGGTACAATTCCCTGCTGGGAAGGGAAGAGTTCTTCACCACCACAGTCCCAGACCAGTATATTTTGGCACCTGAAGCAACTACCCTGGAGTCAGCCAGGCTGTGCACAGTGTTTTACCAGCATATTCCTTAGAAAATGCACTGCAGCTAGATAAAACAATGGTGAGCTGTCTTGTGGTTATAAGATGGAGAGCTACTTGCTGGAATTTGGAGTCCCACCTCACTTGTTTGCCTGCCATATGCTTTTTTTTTTTTTTCTGGGCTTGTGCAAGGTGAGCTAAGGGCTTGTGGGGTGTGCTGGTCCCTGGTGCCAGCTCCTGTTAGCTGAACCAGAGCCATTGGTTTACCTCCAAGGAGGATGGGATTGACAACACCAGCTGAGATTAAGTTGGTATTTTCTTCAGCATGTGTTTCTCAGCTGGAGATGCTGGGCAGAGCTTGAGGTTTTGCCTAGGCACAGATGAAATCGAAACGATGTAATGAGCGAACAGCAACTCTGGTCACACAGAGGAAGTGGAGGGGGGGCCGGGCGGGGTTGGAGATTGTGTTTGGACTGATTATTCTGGTTTTCTTCCTCACTAGGACAAAGAAGTAAACCTGGAGCAGGTCCATAGACGCATGAACAGTTTAATTGATGAAGACATAGCCCACAAGCAAATCTCTCCAGCGTCCATTGAAATCTCAGCCTTGGAGATCGGTGGCATGCAGCCAGCTCAGACCCTGGAGCCGGTACGCGAATACCAGAACACACAACTTTCTGTCACCACCTTTTTACCAGAACAGACAACTCATGGTGCCAGCAGGACACTCACAGCTGCCTCCGGCAGCAACCTGCCACTGCCCCTGAGCAGCTCGGCCACCATGCCCTCCATACAGTGTAAACACAGGTCGCCAAATGGAGGACTATTTCGTCAGAGTCCTGTGAAAACCCCGATCCCAATGTCATTTCAGTCTGTGCCGGGGGGAGTCATTCCAGAAGCAATGGAGCCCTCGCATGGAACGTCCATATGACGAAAACAAACAGTAAAACAACCAGCAGAGCTTTTTAATACAAAATTTAAAACAAACAAACAAACAAACAAAAAAACACAAAACAAACTCTTACATTTTTCCTGTACATACCTGTAAATAATGAAAGAATGAAGTGGGGTAAAAGTGTATTTTGAATATTCCCAATTTTCAAAGTCAGTAAAAAACAAAACAAAAAAGAAAATTGTATGAATGACTTTGTAAATTTTGTTCTATATGAATAAAAAGGCAAACTACTTGTGATCGTTCTCAAGTGCCAAAGAAGACCAGTTACTGGGACTGAGGGCCGAACTTTTTTTTCCCCCAATGGATTTCAACACTTATTCCCTTACTGTTGTTTTCTGGTTCGGTTTTTTTCAAGAGCAAAAAAATTATTTGTTTCTTGCTAGAAACGGTCACCATGCTTGGGTCTCTTCTTTCCCCAGAACCCTATTTTATAGTCAAGATGGCAATTCACTCAGAGAATTTAACAGCTGGTATTAGCATAGCAGTAACAAATGTTTTAAACATGATTTACAACTAAAATCCAACAAAAAATAAACAGAAAAATAGGCAAATTTTTCCTTCTAACAAGGACTTAAACCTCCACAGTTTTTAAGTTGTAGCGCAGGGTTATTGAATTGTGTTTTTACATGTCTGCTGCTCTGTGTGACTCTTTTTATTTAACCTTTTGTGTTTTCTTATATATATAATATATATTATATA